ATCCCTCTACGGGTTTTGAGACGCTAGTCAGAAGGCCTACGGCGGTTGCATCTATTTCTTAGAGATCTACAGTGATGGCTCTAAATCGTCTAGATTGATTACTGCCAAATCTAGAGTAAACCCACTAAAAACTAAATTAACTATACCCAAACTAGAGCTGTGTGCAATAGAGCTGTTGTCTACATTATCTCGTAGAATCGTTCAAATCTTTTGCATTTCTATTCAGATTCATTATGTTCACTTATGGTCTGATATGCTCCATATCATGGAACCACCTTATTGGCTTCAATCGATCCTTGACAGTCCAGTTATTCAAGGCGAATAGCTATAAAGGAGAGAGCAGTGTTACTAAAGTTTCGTAAGATTTATCTCAGATAGAAAAAGTCGCTGGACGAAAAAGAAGAAGTAGTTCGAGAACATTCAAAATGACATCAACAATTTATGAAATGCCTAGAACATGGTGGGGAGCACATCCTGCTACTTTACTCATTTTATATAAGGCCTATATTAGATCACACCTAGGTTATGCATCGATTTCTTGGAGGTTGTGCCCGTTCCTTACTTACAAAACTGGATAAAGTTCAATATAGAGCTCTAAGAGTGTTCGGAGGATTTATGAGGTCTTCTCTAGTTCATATTATTTTGTCGGAATATGGGGAAACACCGTTAGATCTTAGAAGGATTTGGCTAGCATCTAAATTTATATTAAAGGTAGTAACATATGACAACCCAATATATTCTTCAATTGGGCAATTTTATAAAGTATTTCCGAATCACGTTAGTTTCTGGAGAAGAAAATACTTCCCACCAATACTGACTGCCTTCCAGAATACGCTACATGAGATTCATTAGGTGGCACATAGCTCCTTATTTCCTTGTCACTCTTTCCCGCTTGATTCTCAAAGTTTTCCTATGATTTATGAAACTCTCAACCTAGGGAAAGGAGGTAACCAAGCAAAGTTTGTGTCATTGTACCTTGATAACTGGTCTGAATATAAACTTATCTTCACAGATGGATCCAAAGATAAACAAGGTAATGTGGGCATCGGTACATACCTTAATAAAAGCACCGAGTTAACAGCAAGATCACTATATGCTAATTCAATTTGTTCAGCAGAATTATTTGCGATAAAAAGGCATTCGATTTAATTCAACGGAATGATTTTGAACAAATCCTTATTTGTAGTGATTTAAAAAGTGCTCTGGAGAAATTTACAAGACCAGGTTATAAGGCAACAGCAGACACACAAACTCTTTAAAACAAAAACGTGGTCAAATTCATGAACAAAATAAAGAAATTAAATTCGCATGGATTCCAAGTCACACCGGGATCGTAGAGGATAGAGCTTTATTTATTATTTAGCGTATGGCAATTTGATACACAACATTATCACATATATGTTACAATCTAACATCTAATGTATTAATACATTCAATCGACGCTGGTGTTGCAGAGGCGAAGTCTAGAGGATCTCCATAATACTTCCTCCGAGGGCATTCGGCAATCATATGCTGGACGTTCTGTTTCTCGGCGCCGCAGTCGCACTCAGCAGAGGTTCTCATCCTCCATTTATAAAGGGAATCTGCGCAGATTCCATGACCCGTTCTTATCCTGTTAAGAGTTGACCATGATTTTCGGGGGAGGTCAAAACCTGGTGGAGTTTCTGTGATGCATGGTGTGTTTCTCATTATTAGGTTCGCTCTGTCGCCCAGCATGTTCTTCCACTGGGAGTTCATTTGGAAATTGTTGGAACTCAAGTTTATTGCATCTCTAGTCGGAGGTTTTCTGGAGCGCAATCGATGTGAATTAGCGTCGGCGACATATGTGTGTATAGGTAATTGCGGGTTGTTAAGCAGCTTTTGGAATTCACTAAGCAGAGCATGCTGACGACGAAGATTAGGTGGAGGTATATGGCTCAGTAGTGGAAGCCACTCCACAGGTGTAGACTTGATCGTTCCAGATATGAGACGCATGGCGACATTGAGCTGGGTATCTATAATTTTTGTGTGAACGCTATTCAGCCAAACAGGAGAGCAGTATTCAGCTGCGGAGTATACGAGTCCAAGGGCTGAACACCGAAGTGTACCTGCTGATGAGCCCCATGTAGTCCCGCAAAGCTTCTGTATGATGTTGTTACGGGTTCTCAGGTTTGCTGCGGTGTTCTCAAGATGTTTCTTAAAGGAGAGTGTTCTGTCCAGGGTGACGCCGAGGTACTTGGGATTATAGTTGTGCGTGAGCAGTTGGTTATCAATGTATACTTTAAGTTTTGTGTGGGCCATTTTGTTGTTCAGGTGAAAACAGCTAACCTCGGTTTTTTTGGGGTTAGGTTTAAGTCTCCATTGTTTAAAGTACTTAACCAGGCGTTCCAGATCTTCCGTTAGGATTGCCTCGGAGTTTTGTATTAAGGAGCTTTGAGTTGCAAGTGCCCAGTCGCCTGCATATCCAAATTTTTTAGATCTGGTAGGGGGCATATCAGCTATATACATACTAAATAGCAGCGGTGCAAGTACGGAGCCCTGGGGGAGGCCATTATTAAGCGTTCTCTGTTTGCTTACTGTAGTTCCCATGGTTACACGGATGTTTCTACTGCTCAGTATAGTATTTATGAGTCGGGCGGTTGCTTTGCAGGGGATTATTTTAAGGAGCTTATAGATGAGGCCATCTTTCCAAACCGTGTCATAGGCAGCCGATAAATCGATGAATGCCACAGACGTCTTCAGTTTTCTTTGGTAACCTGCCTCTATGTAGGTAGTTATAGAGAGCACTTGGTCAGTGGTGCTTCGTTGAGGCCTGAATCCTGCTTGTTCAATGGTATTTTTTTAAGTAGCTTTGGGCCGATTCTGTTCAGGACCAGTCTTTCGAGGAGCTTGTAAGCTGCACTGAGTAAAGCGATGGGGCGGTAACTCGCTGGGTTGTCTGTTGGTTTTCCAGGTTTCAGGATGGCTATGATTTTTGTTTGTTTAAAGAGGTTTGGTAGGTTACCTGTTTTGAGTATATCTGTATAGAAATTAGACAACCAGGTTTTTGCAGATTTCCCACAATGGATCAGGAATTCGGGAGGTATACCGTCTGTACCAGGAGCTTTGTTAGGTTTAATGTCTTTGATGGCGTTTGAGACTTCTTCTGGAGTGAACGGTGCGGAGTACTCTGTATCTGATGGACAGGCAGCTTTTAGATGTTTAAGCTCCCTTTTTATAGTAGTGGTAAACTTTTTATCACATGCTCCTCTGGAGGTGGCAACTATATGTGATGCAATTTTATTAGGGTTGAAGTCGTGGATTTGTCGTGTTGCCAGTTTGTCACTTCCGAGTTTTTTTAGGAGCGACCACGCTTTACGGCTAGACTTTTTGAAATCTAACGATTCGACTTCATTTGTCCATTTCTTCCTTCTTGCTACATCAAGGCTCAGGAGAAGTTCGTCCGCAATGTTACTTTCACCGGTTTCAAGATATTCTTCGTAGAGGTTTTGGATTTCCTCACTCCATCCTGGTATGTATTGCTTACGATGGCCCCTGGGAATGTGTTTCTTTGCTGTAGCAATTATTGCCCCTCTAAACCTTTCATACTTTTTATTATAGGATAGAGCTGATTTTGCTAAACTTGAAAGAAAGCTACCTGTTACTGAAGAACCAAAGGCTTCCTTTAAAAAATTTCAAACTAAATATAATGAAAACCTATGGATCAGTTGGAAAAATCGGATCCAACAAACAAGACAGGTAAAAGAATTACATATTGTACAAATGTTACGGTTCCATATAAAAAAGCCTGGTTTACAATGTTTCCCAACCTGGGGAGGGGTATAATTGCACAAATGTGTCGTATGAAACGTGGACATTGCAGTGTTCCGGTTCATTTATTTAGATTGAAAGTGATCAATACAAATCTGTGTTCATGTGGCAGTTTAGGCACCTTACAGCATGTTTTGTTGGAATGTACTAGATATCAAAGGAAGTCCCAGTTACTTAGAAGTGAATTACAAGGTGATCCAACATTTATTGATGTCTTGTTCAAAAATTTAAACTCAAAGACATTACTTGCAGTGCAAAAGTTCTTAGCGTCAATAAGGTCTCAAGTGTAGTTTGTTAATGTACATTACAAGATTTAATATGGTTGCTTGGATTGCATGTGCTTAGTGAGGTTTGGTGCAGTAGTATAGGACTAGAACAATAGAACTATGTGAAAGAACTTTTGAACATTGATTTCAAAGAAGTGTTACAATATAAATACAGAACGATTTAGATTTTAGGCAGTCTAAAAATATATGTTGTATTTTTAAATAATAAATATATAATAAATTATTGTGTTTTGAGTGTTAGAGTAAATAATTAAAATCAGTGTTAGAAGACTGTACCTAAATTAAAAACTAACTAAATAGTTTTAAAATATCTGTAAATTAAACGATAATACAAGACGCATTGTAATACATTGGAAAGGTTTTAAAATAAATTATTCTTACTAGCAGAAAGTACTTCAATAGTTAAATTAATCAAAATTTATTTTTTGAACCAGAAATATTCGATCATTTTGACCATGAGCGTATGCTCCTGTTTTCTAAGATCCACGAACAATAAGACCATATTTCTCGTCCGACTCAGAGTAGCAGATCAAACTTGGATTGTGTACTATGACGCCGACGTTTTAAAATATCTGGCTGGAGTACAGCTCGACACAGGTACTCACTATATAACTCAATGACTGGGCATACCTAGCTCGCTGAGCTATCAAGCCGTTGTAGAAAACTGTTCTTAAATATTAAGTGCAGGTGTAAATTTTTATTATTAATTAGTTTTTATTTTTTTGTAATAAAAAAATATTCAATTCAGTTGGTGAGAAACAATAAATCAGAATACGTATGGGTACTTTTTAAAATCACTTTTGTTTGAAGTATGTTCGGCAGTTCTGCTATAGAAATAGGACGGTGCAAGCGTAGGGTGACACAAACAATGCAAAGCGATGATTATTTAATAGTAGTTACAATATAATTATCGATTTGACAAACCTATGTGTCGTCCTCGATCCGCACACATCCACGTTCATCCTAACAAAAAAAGAAATAGAAACAACAAAAATTTAAATAATAAAAGAAACAAAAATGCGATGGTAATAGAGTTAAAGAAAACTGTAAGATTGTTTGTTTTTAATTGTACTTTAAATTTTATCACGATAATTAAGTATGCATTTACTTATCGAATTTCTATTACATCTCTCTCAAGGCTTTAAATAAATTTTCAAAATAGAGTAATTAATTAAGATCTTTGCACGAATAAACGCAAATAAGACGAGTATGTCCAGAAACACCGACGAACTTCTATCAATTGTTCAAAGAAAGACCGATCTCAAAATTTGATACGATCGAAGGATTTCGATGTGCTGATTAAGTGGTGAAGATGGAGATTGCAAATAGGAGTCCTAGATAATAAAATGTAAGGCAGACGACTAAAAGAGAGGCCACAACACAGATAAAAGAGTTAAAAGTGATAGCAATCGCGTAAGTTCTAATGGTCATCAGAATTTGGATGCAAGCAGCTTATAATTCACAACATTCTTCTCCTTTTTATGTAGACATGACGCTGTCTGTTTTTTAATGTACCTCCAGTAAGTTGTAGTTCCATCGTTTTCGTGGTCTTCGTATTGGGGAACCGTCTCTTGCCGTTTTTACTACTCTATTTGTTGTCATTCGGCTTATATGATCTTAGATTCTACTCTTCTACTTCTTACCAAGTTCTTGATTCTCTCCACCTTACATCTACGTCGTATATATGTACTTCTAACTCTGTCCCATAGTGTCTTACCATCAATTTATTAAAGTGTTTTCATCTCTGCTGTTTCTAACATCCTTTTTGTCCTCTCTGTGTCAAGTCGTGTTTCTGCCGCGTATTTTCGATAGTTTTGATTATTCCTAGAGGTATCTTTCTTGCGTACAATAAGTGGATAACGTCATTTAATTTGACCCGGTCAAATTCCTTCTTAAGGTCCACGAAACATAGATATGCGGGTTTTTTGTATTCTAATGATTTCTCTTGCACTTACCTGATTATAAATATAGTCAGTGCATGATCTTTCCGACCTAAAACCTTGTTGTTCTTCTGCTAGTGTTATTCTGTTATTTTCCGGGTCCGATTTGTCTCCCTTTTTGAAGAGAGATATTAGGATGCTTGATCTTCATTCTTGATCTTTTTCTTCATGTGCCGAGCTCGATTATCGAGCGTTGGCTATCAAATTGGCTGTAGTAATTTTGTTGACGGCAGCTCGGAAAGAGATGCAGAGGCTCTGTTAAACCAATCTCTCAGGTTTCTAAGCCATGACGTCCTTCTTCGACCTGGCTCTCTTCTTCCGTCTACCTTACCTTGTATTATTAAATGGAGTATATTATATCTCTCTGGATAGCGCATAACATGGCCAAAATATTCAAGTTCGCGATTTTTAACTGTTTTGACGACTTCCGTAATATTTTCCATCCGAGGCAAAACAACTTCGTTACGAACTCTATCCACCCAACTCGTAGGATTCTTGAGAAGTGTATCCGTCAAAGTCCAACCTTCGACACCATACAAAAGAGTAGAGAACACATATCATCTCACTAATCTAATTTTCAGACTTAAGTAATATTGTTTCCACAAAACAGTTACTTCATCTTAAAGAATGCAGCTCTGACCTTCTCTATCCGTATTCTAATTTCTTTGCTCATGTCCCAGTTCTCATTTAGATTACAACCAAGGTAAGTGATACTGTTAGTTCTCTCCAGTTGTTCACTATAAGCTGTTACCACTTCCGGTAGTATTGGCATTTTACTGACGACCATCACCTTTGTCTTTGCGGTGTTTAGCTTAAGACCATATTCATCACACGTTGTGGTAATCCTATTAATTAGATGTTGAAGTTCTTCGTAATTGCTTGCAATTAACACTGTGTCATCCGCATATCTCAAATTATTAATATTAATATTGATTCTTGATCATCTCCATTATTAGTTTTAATAGTTGTTTGTTCAGATCTGGCCCTCCGTACTTTGGGAGTTCGTTCGTTAATCTGTCCTCTCCTGGTGATTTTTTAGTTATTAATTTCCTTAATGCTTCCTTTACCTCTTCCTCCTCAATATTTATTTCTTCGTTTGTCGTCAAAGTTGTCTACCCATGTTTCCTTCTGAATGTGTTTCGTTTTTGTTAGTTCGTTCATCTTTTTTCTTTGTCCTCTGATCATTCTCCATATTTCTTTTTGTGTTCCGTAGAAGTCGTGTTCCATCTGTTTTGAGAAGCTCTGCCAGTGTTCCCTTTTTATTTGTCTAACTAAAGTATTCGTTTTACTTCTGATTCGTTTATAGTGGTTATATGCTTGTATTGGGAAAGCCCAATTTGGGAAAAACAAAAGTAAAAATACATATCATTTTAGTATCCCGAGAAAAATTGAAGAGTAAAAGTGAAATTACAACCACAAACTAGTATAAGTTTTTTTAAACTAAGAAAATTAGTGAAAATATTTTGTCGAACTAAAAGCTTGATACACATATTGGGAATATTAAAAAAGTGATAAGTAGTGAGATTTTTCAACACGGGGACATCTGATAAAAAGTTGACAAAAAAGGTGACATTTCAGACCTATAGAACTACAGACCTATTAGTTTGCTCTTACATACATACAAACTATTCATGAAAATAAAAAACAAAACGGCTTGTGAACAAACTGTATAGTTACCAACCTTGCGAACAGGCTGGGTTTCGCTCCAGATACGGAACAAAGGATCATCTACAAGTTATTAAAACGCTAATAGAAAAGTGCACGGAATACAACAAGCCTATCTTTCTTATTTTGGTCAGACCGTGGAGTTGGGGTGCCTACATTGTAAAAAATGACATGCACCCTTCCCTCCATGAGGTCGCTGGAAACAAACGGAAACAAATATCCCAAAGTTTAGAAGACAGAAACGGGCACAGAATATTAGACATCAATGAACAGTTAAAAGAATGGGAAAACTACATTTCTGAATTATTTGAAGATGAGAGAGTAGAACACTATACCCCGATTGCTATATCAGGTCCATCTATAACAGAAAGTGAGGTTACACGTTCAATATAAACAGCAAAAAATGGAAAAGCACTTGGCCCCGATGAAGTAAGTGGTGAAATACTAAAGTTTTTGGGAGAAAATTGAATTAAAGCTCTGTGTAATCTCTTTAACAGAATTTATGACACTGGGATATTACCAACTGATTGGTTAAAGTCGACATTTGTCACAATACCTAAGAAACATCGTCCAAAGACATGCGGTGATTATCAGACAATAAGTCTGATGAGTCACGTTTTAAAGATCTTCCTGCGAGTAATACACAGCAGAATTTACACGCTGTTACCCCCCTTTCTGACGAGGATACTGTATCCGAGATACGCGTATCCGAGACGCAGATATTACATAGACTCAAATGGAACTTTTCACACGGGACGCGCGAGTGATACAGTATGCGAGATACCGAATGCGTATGCCAGATACAGAAGAAAAATTACGTTAAATGAACGCTTTCAGACACAAATTCTGTATCTCGCATACAGTATCTCAGATACAGTATCCTCGTCTGAAAGGGGTGTTAGAGGACAGAATTAGCAATACTCAATTTGGGCTTAGGAGTGGCTTGGGTACAGAGATGCAGAGATATAAATAAAAATGTGTACATTTGTGCAATCGATTTTGAAAAGGCTTTTGACAAAGTCCAACATAACAAAATGCTAGAAATATTGGAAACAGCTGGATTGGACGATAAAGATCTACGAATAATTACAAATCTATACTGGCATCAAGTGGCAAGAATAAAGGTTTGAACAAGAACTGTCGGATGAAATAAATATAAAAAAAGGAGTGAGACAAGGCTGTATATTGTCGCCTTTACTTTTTAACTTATATTCGGAGGAAATATTTAAGGAAGCCTTAATGGAGACAACCGAAGTTATTATTGTGAATGGAGTAACCGTCAACAATATTAGATATGCCGACGATACCTTAATCCTTGCTAATTGCGGAGAAGACCTTCAAAATCTAATGAACAAAATAAAATAGACTTGTGATCAGTATGGATTAAAACTCAACGTTAAGAAAACTAAATACCTATATGATAGTTAGCAAACAAAATTATATACAGGATGACGGTATAAAAGTCGGAGATGCCACACTGGACAGAGTAGAGAAACTCGTGTATCTCGGCCGTAATATCAATGCGAGCTGGGATCCAACCGCAGAAATTAAAAGCCGAATAGAACAAGCCCGATATGTCTTTGTAAAAATGAGAAACGTACTTTGCAGTCACAATCTTAGCATTGTCCTTAGAGTTCGAATCTTGCTACATCTTTCCTGTCCTGCTGTATGGAGTGGAAGCGTGGACTCTAACTGAGGCTATCCTTAAACGCTTGACAGCCTTTGAGATGTGGGTATACAGACGACTACTGAAAATAAGCTGGGTCGACAGAGCTAGAAATGAGGTCCTTAGACGGCTGAACCAACCAACACGACTGGTCAATATAATAAAGAAACGCAAGCTGGAATACTTCGGTCACATTATGAGACACCCTGAAAAATATGATCTTTTACATCTGATCATTCAGGGAAAGATCCAAGGTAATCGTGGTCCTGGTAGAAGAAGAAGATCGTGGCTGAAAAATCTAAGGCAATGGTATGGAAAATCAACTACATCGTTATTTAGAGCTGCTGTCATGAAGTCACGATAGTGAATATGGTAGCCAACATGATATCCAACGATCGATAACGGTCATGGAACTAGAAGAAGATCTTTCTTATATTCGTAGACTATAAAAGCGCGTTTGGTACTATAGATCATCATAAAATGTTTCGAGCATTGGCTGACTGCCGCATCGACTACCGATATATTGCCTTGATTAAGAGTCTCTACGAAACTGGTACGAAGGAGAAATGCTGATGTTTCATCAATGTTGCAACCATTCACGCAGGCACAGAGTAACGACAAATAACAGTACTGTTTCTTATCTCGTACAGACGTGTCGTATCTAAACATATTCTTCGAAATGGCAACGCGAA